AAAAAATGTGCAGACTTTTTACACATGGGAAAATCTACAGCCTTTATATTCTGAAAATAGTGCAAATCACCCAGCATCCTAATAACTGTAATTATATTTAAACTCTTGAAAATTAATATACTATTTTTTACTGTATTAGACCTTGCCCAGGCTGTTTTTACCTCTTTATTCTATAAATGCACCTGGAATCCAGTAGCATAACTTTGAAGCCCTGGACTAAGGGACATTGTTAGGCAGCAATGATACAAAACATTTTGGTTCCTTCACTGCGTTGCCTTAACTTCTCAATGAGGTATTACAGAGAGATGACCCATGAAGCTGTCCCATACCGTGGACAACGTCTCTACATATATGGGAGTGTTTGGAAATGACAGAATTTCTTATTTGGAGTTTTGTGGCAGAAACAAACTTGGTCACAGCTGTTTGAAAGTGCTGGCAAAGCCCCACAACCCTGTGAGGATAATCTTTGTTCAGCCTTGCCATCACAAAACCATGGCCCTTCATAAGCTAAACAAGGAGTTAAAGGTGCGGGAAGAAACCTGAAGGAATCAAATGAAGATTTGCCGTACAGGATTTGGCTGTTACACACCTGTGATCGCACCGCTTCAACAGAGCTGCAGAAGTGTAACCGAGAGTGGAATTTCAGACCCTCTCGCCCAAGATCAAACACTCATTACGGCTACCCTGGCTGCCAGATTTCTCTACTTGAAAGCTGAAATTCTCCCCAAATATATCTCTCTGGCCTGAAAAATGAGAATCTGGTATCAGACTGAGCAGGGAAATTACTATCTGAAGAATGGATATAAGTGAAGATAACACAGAGGCAAATCTTTGTGTTTACTTTCACTGCTATATGTTGTTTGCAAAAGCCAAATGCTGAGAATTTACTAAACAATACGAATAGGGACTTCTGGCACAACACTGTGAAAACAGCTATAATTACCTTCTCATGACACAGAGTCAGAATTTGTGGTGGCCAAGCTAGATGTCATGATTCCTCACGTCAATGTAGTATCAGAAAAATAAATTAGGAGGAAAACAGTAAAAGATCTCTAATTGCTGTATTTGATTACTAGCAGATTTACAACCACTCAAGATTTCTCCCCTCTCTGAAGTGAAATCCAAGGAGAGATGCAGAGGATATGAGAAATTCTCTGCTGATCTTTTTCCCTTTGCTCCTTGCTAGGGGTTAGGTAGCAAAGGAGGCTCTGTGCTAAGGAGAACTGTGGGAACCTTAAATCTTTTCATTATTTCAGGGGTTGGCGGGTTTTTTTCCCCATGGAGTGCTTCTGTTCTGTGCAAATTACATTTTGCTTTCTGGGAGCACAACCGCAGAGGAGAACAGTTGCGGTGGCTGCTGAGCAGAAGGGCGGTGGGCATCGAACTGCGGCAGGACCCCGCGATGGCAGGAGGCTCCTGCTAACAGCTGGGCAGCAATCGCGGGAACGCATGCCCAAAACGGTGGTGACAGCGGTTTGTCCTACAGGAGGCACCAGGATGGGGCTGGAAGCACAGCTCATTCAGCAACCACTGCATCAACCATGCCTCCGAAACCCGTGCGGGTGAGATGATGCATTTGCCCATCAGGGTTTTGCCCCTGAGGAGTACAGACAACTCTGCCTCTGCCCAAGCCTTCACCTCCAGCTCGTCTCAGCTGCTTCTGCAGCGCTCAGAGACACATGAAACGCAGCTAGAAAAATTACACGGGCTTTCCACACTGTTCATTAAATTTGTTTGCTTAACTTAAACTACATCCTTTAACCCTTTAGCCATGCACATAGGTCCCGGCCGTCGATGGCATGATTGTTAGTGTGTGCATTGTTCACTTCTCTACACTAATTTGTATATAAAGAAAAGAAGTTAAAGGGGTCGCTATTTCTGAAAAAACGTGATTGAAACTATATGTCCTTCTTCACTCACCTCCTTGCATCACAGGAATCACCCCAAACTAGCCAGTAATCAGGTTTCAGAAATATCTTGCAGAAGCTCAGTTTACCTTTGTGCCCGTAACAGAAGACTCATGAAGACAGAGCAACTTTCATCGTGTATAAATGACTAACAATTACATCAAAACACATGGAAGGCTTCAAAGCGGGGTGGAAAAACAGGGGGAAATTCCATCCGATTAAGATAGGACATAATTATCTTCTACAGGAAATAAATGCTATATTTTTAACAGGTGATTGGTCTGATAGATTCAGTACAGGGTTATGATTGTCTAGTGATTTCTCATCGAGTTGCAGTGTATCTCCCCAGAGAGATGACAGATCTTGGTATTTTCTTGTAATTATTTTTCTACATAGGCTCTTAATTGGGAAATGGAAACATGAGAGCTCCTAGAGCAGGCTGCATTTCATTCACTATTACCATCCATATTTCATCTTTCACAATTAATTCAAAGATTCATAAGTACCTCATACCGGTATGTTACTACACTGAGTTAGTACCATAGTAACATTTCTGTAATACCAGAATCTCCCAGCTTTCAGCCTTAGCAATTCCCTGCTCATTACAATTTACGACTGCTGCATTCCATGAGCCAATACACCCTGCTGCTACTGAAATCAACCTATGCTGTTTAAATATTAAATAGATATAAAATCTGTATTGTTGTAAACAATAAATGTTTATATACAAGCAGAAAACACAATATTAGGATTAATAGATACAAACTGAACTTGCAAATGGTTACGAATGTATTTAAAGAAAGGACAAAAATCATAACTAAAATAACAGTTTTTAAAGGAGACTGGGAAAAGATTCAATAATGCATCTTCATAAAATATTTCTGGTAATAGATTGATTGTTGATAACATTTTCCACCTCGTTCTGTAATGGGGATGAAAATCAACCAACTAATGACCACCATATGTGGGTAAGTGTGTCAGGCTTGATAGAAAAAAACACTGTCATGCAGCCTGGAGCCTACAGGCACTAACGTAACGTAAACCAACCACAGAGTAGATACTAAATTTCTGCTGCATTCATTCAGCAATAGAACAGAAATATTCAATAATATTTGTATCAATTCACAGGATAAGGGATTTCAGAGCCATCTTGATCATGGTTGGGTATGTCTTCGCCTGGCCAATATGACTGCGATCACAGCCTGAACTGTCCTTCCAAAGAATAAAGTGTTTCACTGAAGCGTAGTTAACTCTGAAACCTAAAGATGGCAAGGCTATAAGCAGTGCTCACTTCTTAACTTCTGCTTACTTAATTATCCTGGCAGCAGGACAGTTAACTTTTAACTCAACAACTATGCACTGAAAATACAGTTACAGATCAAATCTTCCTTTCTGTATGAATAATACGGTGTCTCTCCTCTAAATATGTACCCTGTCTGCTCTGACTGCAGTGTTAATTATTAAATATGTTCATCAATTATTAATATAAAATTATTCAATTTCATTTTTAAAGCATATTTAGCCTTTTTAAATGAAGATTTCTAGAAAGAGACCCTCAAAATGTGATGTAGGAATGCATGTCATTCCAAGCCCTAAGACATCAATGAATTAACTCTATTTATATACGTTACTTCGTTTAACGAAACTTGCTACTTTTAACCATTCCTGTCTACATTATAATAGTACGTAAACATGTTAAATGAAATCAACTGGTCATAAAGCCTATTTTGTGATGCCCGATGCTACACGTATTTTGCATTAGCTGTATGTAATGAATAATGGACTTTATAATGTATTTCACTGTGGAAGTCATTCATGAGAAGCCTGGCAGGAAAACCACTCTTCAGCAAAGACCAAACATCCCAGCCATCTCACAGCTGCATTCAGGGTTCCACCGGCCAGGCAAACAGTTTGTCTGCTTCTCCTTAAGTAGGTCCTGCTGCCCTCAGCCCCGCTCTGACCTCAGAGAGCATCTCCTGTCCCCCTCGCTGGGGAAAGCCCAGTTCACTCGCTGCTGCCATGTCCCTGCTCACTGACTCCTGGCTCCTTCCACCGTCACATTTTTAATTACAGCCCTGAGCGAAAAGCCACGGAAAGTGAAGGAAAAGCCTTCCATCTAGAGGGTTGGATCCAGCCCACCAGGCATACACATCATTTAGATTTTTTTTACATGGAGACATAAATAATTTATGTTTTCAATTTTTCATAACTTCAGCAGTGAGAGGCAGCCTTGGGAACAGCCCCCTCTGCTTCACCCCTCATTTGCGGGGGTCACAGCAGACGCTGCTGAGCCGTCAGCATAAATTACAGCCAGCAGCACGTCAGTGCAGAACACTTAACTGCATGTGCAGTTTCAAATACATAAATAATCGCACTGACTGTACTGAAGCACCAGAAAACATCCAGGTAATATTCTTTCATAACTTCTCAGAAGTATTTGAGAAGCAGAACTTTGATCTTTATTAGCTGTCAAGTCCACGATGAGGCAAAGTACGTTCCTCAGCAGGCTGCTGGAGATGGGCCTGGAAGCAGCTACATCCTTCTGGAGTTTATCTGGACATTTACAAAGCGGAGCTAGCTTGCACTACTTCCCACAAATGTGTCTTCTTGCAGTTTCTTGGGACCATGAACCATCCTCATGCTCTGCGCCTACTGACGACCAAGGGTTGATGACCTCCTACCGAGGCTGAGCACCCCCACCACACCTTGGGACTGCTAAGGGGCCAGGAAGGCATTAACATGCAAAACCATGAACCAGGGGATGCGTCCCACCTTCTTCCTTCCAGACAGAAGAAACACATTTGCATAAAGCATTTTGAGCAGAAATTCACGCAAGGCAAATCACTCCAGCAGCCGTTGGGCCCCCTGCATGATCTGGAGCAAGGCATGGTTCCTACCACCATGTGTGCACAGAGATATGGGGCTTACCCTGAGTGATGTGTGACACTCACAAGCCTTCTCCCGACCAGAAGGCAGCTCCAGGACTTTTTCTCCCTTTACCTAAGAATGCCAGCAATTTCAACTTGACACAGAGCTGGCCTGGATGACGGTTTAACATATAAATCATGGGTCAAAGATAAGATAAACACATACCAGTGTAGTCCTCATAGCATTCACAAGTGTAGCCCCCTTCTCGGCTCCTGCACAGCCCATTGCTCCCACAGGGGTTGGAGTAGCAGAGGTCAATCTCCGTCTCGCAGTAGTCGCCCGTGAAGCCTGGGGGGCATCGGCACCGCAGCCCGTTGATGGGGTGGATGGGGCGGAACAGGACGGTGTTGGAGCTGATGAACGGGGCCGAGCTGTCAAACTTCAGGACGGAGACACACTTCATGTAGTTCTCACAGGGCTCGCGCAAGCAGATGTTGTCATCGAAGGGCAGCACCCTCTGTGTGGAAATCATGGTCAGCAGGGTCCTGTTGAGGTAGATCTGCTCCTGCAGGTCCTCTGAGGGGAAGAACTTGTTTCGAATGCCACCAGGCAGCAAAGCCGAGAAGGTCACATTCAGGATATTGGAGCTGACATCTGTGTCATTCTGGATGTTGAAAACGAAGATGCCGTCCTTGGCGGTGGAGAGCACCGTTGCCACCCCCTCCACGAACCGGGATAGGAGAGGAGAAAGGAACCTCTCCTGGGACATGTTCTCCAGCCGCACCGTGATACTGTTGGTGAGCATGTCGTCCGTGATGATGGTGACGCGCAGGGTGCAGACTGCTGTGACACTGTGGACACCATCTGAAGGGAAGAGAGAGAGAGATAACGGCGAGGTCAGAGAGCAGGCTTCAACCTACGGACAAGGAGGTTCCCACAGTCTCCTGGAAATAAACAGACCTGTGAGGCATTTTGGGGCACCGGGACCGGAGAGGGAAATGTATCCACCTTCTGCAGTGACTACCAATGCCTTTACTCAGGAAACCAAAACAAAATTTCTTAAGGATTGCAACTCAAAGGACCAGGGACATCTCAAAGAGCCCAGAACACGTGGAGAATGTCCCAGGCAAATGACTGCAAGCGCCAGCGAGCAAATGGATGTCCTGACAGCCACAGGACAGTCAAAGGGAAGCCAAGGGGAAGGAGCCTCTCCTGACAGCAACTGAATGGAGCTTCATGCAAGTCACTGCTAGTCTACAATAGATGCTGGGAAGCTGTCGCTTTTCACAGCACAACAGCAAAATTATCTTTTCCCAGGCGTGGCCTCAGGCTTAAGGCGTCAGAACTATGCACAGACAAAGACCTGTTACCAGAGCTCTACAGCTCTAAAGTCACCTAAGGAAACAAGTCTTCACATCTGAACACCTGAACTTCTTCATTCCTCAAACCCAACCTCTTCAAAATACTTTATGAAAATTAGAAAAAAAAATCAAATAAAGTATGTCTGTAACAAAAAGCAGACATCTAAGAACTCTTCCATTTATCCTTCCTTTAAAGCCTTCCTGATACTGCTGTGGACTTTCTGCAGTAAAACCTGTAAATATACAAATATAGCACTAATACCTGACACTGGACTGATGCCACTGTAAAATCTCAGTACACCCTGAGGCTTACAGTAGTGCTGTGAATGTACAAACTCCAGAGCATTCTGCCATTATGAAACATAGTTATGATGCAGTGAGTGCTATAATTAATCCAAATTCAATGTGAGCATGGAATGGGAAGTTGCACCACCACTGAAACCAGACCACTTAGTTTAATTCTGTCTCCTCGCTAACATTAAGGACTCATTAAGAAAATACAGATTGCATTACAGAAAACATGGTTAGTATTATATCAGCATCTAGAAATCCCAGGAGAGCTCAAGACTGGCTTCTGGTAGGAAATGTTCCTTCTCAAAGATCTCATAGTGTAAATAAACGACGAGAAACGGCGGTGAGTTCATCTCAAGAGAAAGATGAACTGGTTTCAGTGGCCATTATCAGGCCCACAGAGGGGTTAAGAACTGAATCTAGCTCCCCTAAGTCCCAGCTCAGTGCTACAGTTTTGGCCCAAAGTATCCCAGATACAATTATTTCACAAGTGGTCTGCTATCACATTTATTTCAATGAAACCATAAGGTACGTGTGGAAATGTCTTTTGAATCCCATAAATGCAACACTGCAGCAGAAACTGCATTTGAATCAATCTAAACTCAGTGTGAGATCAAAATTCTAATAGCACGGATTGCTGAAGATCATTTTCCTTAGGTTTATTATCTCAAAGCATGAGTTTACGACCCATTATGATCTCTTATAAAACGTCTTTCAAGCACAGAAAAATCCTTTCCTATTCACTGTCACCACTACACCTTAAGTGCTGTTTTGTTTTAAGAAGAAAAGTATCGTTGGAAGATTTTTCCTCCAATAATATAGTAGCAATATAGTAAAATATGACAGTGTAATTAACCAAACGGCTTTTGACTCCCTCCTCCTGATCAGCTTGTCTGTAAAAGCTCAGCTGTTGACTTTTTTCGGCACTGAAACAGCTTTTAGGCAAACAGAAAAATCTTTTCTCCTGAGTGCTACTTCACTACCGCCTAGCTAAAACCACAGGTAGACGGGATCAGTACTTGGGGGGATCTGTTTGATGTGCCCCTCACAGCAGCTCACGCACCAGCTTCCACATTCTCCCAGGTTTGCAGAAAGCTTCCTCTCCCCTTCCTCAGGCTCATCTAGAAACACGTCGTTTCAGCCTCCACCAAGACCCAAAGTAACCTCTAAAACTGATCGGTAGCCAAAACCCTCACTGCAACCTCCTCCTCCGGCGCGGTCTGTGGACAATACAGGATGCACTGTATTTTCATAAATGACATCCTCAGACTAGTCCACCCACTTCTGTCAACTGCACGGCTCATTCCCCTGAAAGGCCAGAAGCAGAACAAACTATGCACTTTTTTAATTCTTTTCTCCTAAAGCAATTGACGCTCGCCTGCCTGTCCCATAGGGTGCCTGAACTGTTTTGCTATTTGTTGGACAATACACTACAGAAGTTCCCTCATACCAGCAAGAATGCTGGACAATGGGTCCTTTTCTTAAGAAAACACTATGATCTATAGCTCCTGGTATGTATAGTAAGCAGACAAAATACGCTCCACTGTCTGACAACGCACTAGAGTCTACAAACTGTCATAATCAATATCAACTGTCACAATATGCAAGAGCTTCCCAGCATTCACAACAGCTATTCTGACACAGTTAATAAATCACTGGAAACAGCCCGGTGTCGGATACCACACAGCCTCCTTGTTCCGCAGGCAGCACTAAAGCAGACCAGGCACAGACGTATAGCTGCAAAATGAAGTCGTGTTTGAAAAGCCAATTCGGCTTTGTGCAGCCCTGTTGCAGAGCATTAAAATAAAAAGGGAGTAAAAAGGAGCTGAGCATGTGTACTACAGGCAACAAAAGGGCGGCATGGCCATACAGCCGGCTGGACAAGCGCCTCTTTCATATCACCAGAGAGTCTGAGAGCAGCATCACGGGATCCGATCATCTATTCATTCAGAAATTCATGGAAAGTTGAAACAATCTGTGGTTTTATGGGACCAAATTAGTATCTATTCTACTTTCAGCAGACTGCATTTGCTTTGAGGGCTGGAACAAGTGCAATAAAGAAAGCAGAAATTTTGTCCTTGTCTTTATTGGCAATTGAATTAAGCCCTAAAGACATGACAATATATGCCTTTTGAGATTCAGAGGCAAAATATTCCATGGAAGTTTCAAATGTGTACTGTCAGAAATGTGAGAAAAATAATATTAGGAAGTACTATTCATGGAGTAGTAATACTTTATGCCCTTTCACTGTCTGACATGCCTACCATATGCAGTTATCTGATACACAAGCACAACCAATCTGCTGTTCTGCTAAAAAGCTTCTAACAACCTGGTTTTTCAAAGGTCTTACGACACAGCTATAAGAAGTCCCTATCATGTTTTGGCAGATGCAAGATGGCTTCAGTCAGAGGTGTGAAACACCCTTCAAGTGATGCTACACAGGAAGAACTCTGGCTACACTTTACTCTTTGGAGCAGACCTTCGCACAGATGAATACACACACATATGCAACGCTTAGCTGTCACCGGTTCTCACAGCCATCATCTGCTTGGCTTCAGCAAACTGGCTGGATGCAGGAGTCTTCCCGAAGGAGCTCTAAAACCATGAGTTGTGCTGGCAGATGGGACACATAGGCATCCTGCTAAGAGTGGCTTGAGCATACAGCCTGGATCTCAGAAGCCCAAGCCCCTGCTACCCAGAGAGCCTGAGAAAAGGGAAATGCGGGACAGACCAAGGAGGACGATAGGATTCAATCCATCCTTTTGCGGGGTTGGCTCCTAAAACCCTGGTACCAATGGCTTTTGTCTCTCTGTCCTCAAGTTTCTCTTCTGTAAAGTGGGGATAATGGCACTTACACGTACATCATGGAGTCATGAGTGCTGAAATGCTGAGATACTGGGGTAATGAAGGCAACATAAACTTCCTAAACAAATCACAAAAGGCTCTTTCAAAAGCTGGTGCAGCCAAGTTTATCAAAAACAAGGTGGAAAAACTAAAATACAAGACTCTTAGCATCTCATACATCAGTGAATGGACGAAAAGGATTCTGGATGGCTGGGTGGCTGCACAGGAGTAGAGGTGTTCATTACAAACACAGTTCCTGCACACTGAATTTATATCCTGGCAATATTATTTTATGTATGCTTTCTACAAAAGAAGGTGAAAAACAAAGCAGATTGTTGTCTTTTGTGTCACTGTCATTGCTGTACAGGCTCCTTAAAAACAGAGCTACCCAAATTCATCCTCCATCAAACTACTGAAAAGATTTAACAGCAACCACACACCCTGACGCATTACAAAGAAAAAAGAAGACAGTAAGGCTGACAAAACCTTGAACCTCTCTAAAATACACTGATAACTCAGAATTTATTAAATAGCCATTGTTTCATGATTACCCTTACTTTATGACAAACCCAATCAAATCTGAGACTTTAATCTCAGCTTTCTATTTTCTGGCAGTCCATAAACCAAAGAATTTCATTATCTAGACATGGAAACACAGCAAAGTTTAACTGAAATGCACATCTGGCAATGGCAGTACCTGGCCAGAAAGGATCCTTTTGTTTGTTTTTTAAGTTGGCAAAAATAAAATAATTAACACTTTTTGGTTTGTTATATACAAAGGTCTTAGGGCTGCATATCAAAGCTGAATATTTTATATAAATATTATAGCATCAGAGCTTTCTTTCGTAGATAGCTAAACCCACATCTATTCTAATTCTGCTTTATAATGCATCTGGAAGTAACAGATGTCAGAGTTTACGACAGCCATGCAAACTCCTTGGCTAGCAAAACGTAGCACAAGGACGCTCCATAGGTTCAAATAACCTCTTGCTCTTCCCAGCTCATAAGGAGCAGGCATGCCCATGGGTAGCAAAGATCACTCGTAACATGCCTTTGAATGATCAAACCTCCACCCCTCATTGCTTCCAGCCATGTCTTTACACACGGGAGTTAATACACACCTAGTCCAGCACTAAGCCTTGATTTAATGATGAGGATGCCATACTTTTAGTGTCCTCTCCACTACCTGGGCGGCAGTAGCACGTAAGTAGCACCAGCTTGTAGCAATGAGACCACAGGCAACACTTGGCTGCCTGAGCAGAGCTGGAACCCAAACCGCTTCCCACTGAGCAAACAGCAGGAAAACATCAGCAGATGTCCATAAAAGCGAGATGCATAGTCCTGCGCTAAGCTTCGGTTTGCCTCAGA